AATTATTTTCATTCCATTATATTGATTTAGTATAGAAAATTCTAGTTTTATATTAACTTAATAAAAATATGATTTAAAATACAGATGCAAATTAAAATACAAATCATATAGTTAAAATATGATTAGGGTTTTTTTGTGGGAAGCAATTGTAGAAATTGCTAAGCGATTCTTCAAGAATGGGACATGTTTGAAATTAAAACACTGCCATAGCAGTAGACTGATGTTGGTAATCATTCTCTCTCGCTTTCTCCTTTTTAAAGTTGAGAACCAATTTCTGATTGGTTATCTATTGCGCATCCACAGGAAATGTTATAGCTCGACTTTCAAGAGTTGTGAGAGTATCAGCCAGCTCTCTCAAACCATCTTGGACTGTCGGAAACCGGTGGTGCCATCTACGGCGTTTTCTTCAACAGTCTCGACTCTGGTCTCCGTTTTTCAGTCGCGACGTCACTTCCCAGTTAAACGTGGCCGACTCGCAGCAAGGAGTGGCATCTAAGCGAGCGTCGCGAGCTGTCAAGCTGTCGGCCCTGAATAGCCCGAGAGAGAGCTAACGGAGACTTTAATCAGCCGGTGCAGCTGATTGCTTAAATGACTCGTCGTGGCGGCCATTGAGCGCGTTATCGAGTATTCGTTAGCATCGAGATCGCCGGTTTTAAGCCTGCCGAGAATCCGTTCAGGCGCGACGAAAGAAAAACATGTCGTCCTCGGGCGATTTCGGTAACCCGTTGCGGAAGTTCAAGCTTGTCTTTCTGGGCGAGCAGAGCGGTGAGTGTTACGATGGTGTGTCAACAAGTGCATCGATGTTCTACGAAAAAAATGGATCGATTTTCCCGACCGGGGGGAAAACGCTATCGCGAGCTCCGGTCATACGGGCCCAATCGGGGTGACGACCCTTCCCGAAGTCGCCTGGTACCCTTCTAGGTTATGGATCAATATTCCCCACCGCCGCCGCCGTCGCCGCCGTCGTCGCCACCGCCGCCGCCGCCGCCGCCGTCGCGACGACACGGTGTCGCCTGTCGCTGTCGCCGTGTTAACTGCACTTGTTCTGACCGCGCGTTCAAGCATTTAAAATGTGCAACGTGGTGTCTGCGCCCTGCGCTTTTTGCCAAGTGGCACCCTGATGGCCGCGTCCATCATTAAGGATGTATTACACGTATTTTTTTAACGAAATGAAAAAATTTATTGATTTTTCTATATTGGATTTAAAAATAAAACAAAAAGTTTGACAGAGATTTTGAATTTGGATAGAAATTATTTCAATAAGAAGTAAATATATTTAAAAAAAATAATTTAGATGAAATAAAACTTCTTTTCATTTAGACTATAAAATTGTATTATTGATCAATATGAAAATATTTGATTTTACTCAACTATTTCGTATGGATACAATATTTATTATACGAAAAGTAGAGTACCAATTTCAGTCACTTTTTGTAGAAACTACACACCTGATATGTCCTTAATTGCATGGCGGGCCTTTAGAATGTTTCTTTATTATAACAATAGAGCTGAAATTTATTAATATAATAAAGATATTTAAATGTTAATTTTGCTAATTTAAATTTTATTAATCATAATTTTTTTTCGTACAAAGAAAAAAATAGTAATATAAATTTAACGAAAGAGATTATTCCCCGAATTTAAAAAAAATTAAAAATTAATTAATGTTTAATTTGAAAAAAAAATTTAGAATGTAAGTTATATATATAATCTAAATAAATGCGTTGTATAATTTTTTTATTGCAGTTG